TGGTTGCTTCTGTGGACCAATCATGAGGTGCCAGATTATGCAAATCTGAGGGATTCTAAGCTCACTGATTTGCTATGGGAAGTGGCCAATCAGAGAATGGTTTTGAAGGGGAGGTTTTTTGAAGGGAACCAATTGTGGCCTTTATGGGAAGTAGCCAATCAGAGTATGGTTCTGAAGGTGAGGTTTTTGAAGGGGAGCCAATCATGGCCTTTGGCATTGTGTAATTGTTTGCTTTCTGAGAAACCTGCAATATTCGCTGGTGCGCAGCCTCCCAGTGTTACTCAATTCCAGGTGAATAGGTATTATGCATAGTCCTTTAACTACATTTCTTATCCAATTTCAAATTTCACTTGGTCTTTACTTTTTTCTTTTGCTATAGGGCATGTTGGCTTGTCAGAGAGAGAAAGGGAAAGTGAGAAAGCAGCTTTTCCCGGGTGGATGGCCAGATGCAGTCTCTCTTCCATCATTCTCCTCTTGGGATTTTGGGCACACAGGAACATGTACCCGGCATATCTTTTTGTTTTTGTTTTTGTTTGAGAGGTTTTTGCTATAGGGCACATGCGCTCACCAGACAGAGAGACATAGAGACAGAAAGTGAGAAATCACCCCCCCAGGGGGGATGGTCACGCCGCAATCCCCTCTCCTCCATTCTCCTCTCAGGATCTTGGGCACACATGCACACGCGCCTGGCGTGAGTTTTAAGCCACTGGGTCCAGGATGCAAATCATGATTGACTAAGTGGGAATCCAGCAACATAGCCATTACACTAACTGCTGGTCCCCCCTATCCCCCAGCATGTTTTTAAGCTGCCAGGCCCAGGACTCAAACCATGCAGTTGACCACGTGGAATTCAGCTGCTTTAACCTCCATGTCACATGCTGACCCAAAAGCCATCCCTCATGTTCATAGTTTTGGTTTCTGTGGTTTCACTTACCTGAAGTCAAAGGCAATCCAAAAATAGGTGACTACAGTCCCATATTTTGAGGACATATTCACATAAATTACAGTATATTGTGATTATTGTTAATGTCATACTGTGTCTAATTTATATGTAAAACTTTTATCGTATGTATAGGAAAAAACAGTGTATGTAGGCTTCAGTGCTAGCTGCAGTCTCGGGCATCCACTGAGAGACCTTGGAAAGTTACTGCCTGCAAATAAGGGAGAACTATATCTGTTTTGCTTTTGCTATCAATATGTGCTACCTTCATGGAGCAAAATTAGGAGACTTACAACCTTTTGCTCATCTTATGCAATAACCAAACATTAGTAATTCACATTCTGGGACCAGCAATTGGCATAATGGCTATGTCGCTGGACTCCCATGGAGTCTACTGTGGTTTGAGTCCTGGACCTGCTGGCTTAAATCCACACCAGGCACATATGTGTGCGTGCCCAAGATCCTGAGAGGAGAATGGAGAAGGAGTTGTGGCATGGCCATCCCCGATTTCTCGCTTTCTGTCTCTTTCTGGTGAGTGCACGCGCTCTCTAGCAAAAACCTCTCCAAAAGAAAAATAATTCACATTCCCCGAGGAGCTCATCTTAAAAATACCACTAAGGTGTTGCCATTATTTCTTTAAGATAGAGTGCATGGGGACCAGCAGGTGGCGTAATGGTTACATTGATGAACTCCAACTTAGTCGACTACAGTTTGAGTCCTGGACCTGTGTGTATGTGTGCCCCAAAAATCCTGAGAGGAGAATGGAGAAGAGATTTCAACCTGGCCCCCTGCCCCTGGGGGGTGGTGGTGGTGATTTCTTGCTTTTCTGCCTCTCTGGTGAGCACACATGCCCTATAGCAAAAATCTCTCTTGAAAAAAAAAGTGTGTGAGTGTGCGTGCATGTGTGCACACATTAGGAAATGTGAGAAGAGCACCCCCAACAGGGTCTACACATGTTGTAGTCCCCTTCCTTTGGCCCTGCAGATCACTGAATCTTGGGCACTGGTGCACGTACTTAGCATGTTTCAAGTTGACTGGGTCAGAGGTTTGAACCTCAGTCACCATGCAGGACCTGGTTTCTCTTGAGCAGTGCATTACCACTGCACCTCAGAATGGGCCCAATGTTGCCATTTTTATTTGATTAGCTTTTCTCTAGTTGAGTAAAAAATATATATATATATAATTTAACAAAAACAAAATGCTGGTGGGATACAATCTGACAGAAACATGAATTAGAATGAGCTCAGCTTGGGACCAGCAGTTAGCGTAATGGCTATGTCATGGCCAAAGAATGACATATCGAACTCCTTATGCCTTATTTGACTGGATTAAATTGAGCTATGTACAACTGGCAATACACAAGAGGTCATGGAATGACATGAGACCATCTGACCCAAAGCCAGTTAGGGAAGGACTGTTTATGTGCATATTTGCATGTAATCTACCATGGTTCAAGTCCCGGACCTGATGGCTTAAACTCACGCCGGGCGTGTGTGCGTGTGTGCCCAAGATCCCAAGAGGAGAAGGGATTGCAACATGGCCATTGCCCCGGGGGTGATTTCTCGCTTTCTGTCTCCCTCTCTGGCAAGCGCATGCACCCTATAGCAAAAACCTCTCCAAAAAAAAAAAAAAAAAGAATGAGCTCAGCTCTAGGGAACTGAATGGTGGGACCAGTTTACCATTAAGTCATGGCCAAAGAATGACATATCGAACTCCTTATGCCTTATTTGACTGGATTAAAGTGAGCTATGTACAACTGGCAATACACAAGAGGTCATGGAATGACATGAGACCATCTGACCCAAAGCCAGTTAGGGAAGGACTGTTTATGTGCATATTTGCATGTGCATGGTTTCTATTTGTATGTAACAAGTACCATCGGATACATTTGTACTTTTTTATCATTTCAACTTTATTAAGTTTTTGTAGTTATAATTGTAATACTAGTTATGAAAACTGCATTGCAATTTGAAAACTAAGACATCTTTTTTGTGAATATAGAGATATATCACATTATTTTCAGTGACTACATAGTAACCTATTTGTAAGCACTTCATCTTTTGTAAATTATGTTTAATAGATCTGTTTATTGTATGCCTCTTAACATTGTATAGAATGTCTCATACCATGGAAAAGGTTTAAATCTTGTACATGGCCCAACCTGTCATTCTATCTTTTCATGACTTCTGGATTCCATGGCTGCTTAGCATAGCTTTCCTGAAATGTTCTATGTTCTTCTCTATAATCTTAATATTGTGATTCCTGTTACATCTTTAATCCTTATCAAATGAACTTCTCCATAAGGGGTGAAATGTGAACCTGACTTTATTTCCAGTTGGATAACTGTCAAAGACTATTCAAATAACCCAACTCTACCACTAATACATAAAAAATACAACTTTTGAAATATACAGAACTAAGAGGTATGTAACTTTTCCAAAATGTCCTTTTGATGTTTGCCTCATTACCACTCAGAATTTCCAGAATAGACCTGTCAATGCCTATAGGAGTGATGATTGCAACTGAGTAAATATACAGACACTTTTACAATGCTGAAATATCCATCTATGAACATCTTATAAATGTCCACTTATTCAGAGCCTCTGTTGTCTGTCAACAAAGTTTTACAATTTCCTTCCTATATATTACCATGAATAAGTTCTTCTGTAATTCCATTTTTCCCCTTGGTTTTATATCAGAGTTGACTTAGTCTCATGAAAGAAGTAAAACATTTTAAGCCTTAAAAAAAAAAAAAAAAAAAAAAAAAAAAATAACTGTATAACAACTTAATTAAGTGGTCCCTTGGAAGTTTTAAATTATCTCTGAACTCGGGTCTTGAAATAGGACTACAAATTGTCTTCAGTTAAACATTAGCAATTTTAATTTTTTGCCTTAACTATAGTCTTGCATATATTCTCTCCAACAAGTTCTAATTCTTTTGTCCTAGTCTTTTTTTGAGAGATATTTTTGCTATAGGGTGCATGCATTCTCTAGAGAGACAGAAGGAGAAAAAGTGAGAAATCACCCTCCAGGGGGAGATGGCCATGCCCCAATCCCTTCTCCATTCTCTTCAGGATTTGGGGCATGCATGTATACATGCCTGGCATGAATTTTAAGCTGTTGGGTTCAGGACTCAGACCACAGTTGACTATGTGGGACTCCAGAGACATAACCATTATGCCATCTGCTTGTGCCTTGTTCTAGTCTTATCTAGAGCTTTTGCTCATACTAAAACATGTTTTATGTATCAGACATTTAATCTTACCAACAAGAGAACCCAGCCTTAGAATCAAAAGCTGCTATATAGTTTTATTATATTAAACTCTAAACATACTACACATGCTAGTCAGTCTCCACCATAAGATACTGTTTCAGTTCCAAAATTGTTATGATCACCTATACACTGTTTCCAGAGTTCACGGAGGAGGAGATAATTTTTATGTAGACTCTAAAGAGTGCTGATTGAACTAAGCACTTAACATGGGCAAGTTATTCTGTTAAGCATTTCATATGCACTGAGTCATTTAAAATTTCATAACAAGGGTTTTAAGAAGAAAGTAATATATAATTACATTTACGTTTTTAAAAGATCATTGTGACTGTAATGTGAAGAATGAACTTGAAGTGGACCCCCCACACACACACACACAAAAAGGCAGATCAGTTATACACTATTGTAGTAGCCCAGGTGAAATGATTGTGTGACTGTGTTTTGGAAAGCTGAACACAGTGGTTTGTGCCTGTAGTCCTGGCTACTCAGGAGGCCAAGACAAGAGAATTGCAACATAGCAATACTCTGTCAAAAAAGGAGGGGAAAAGTGACAGAAATGATTTTATCTTGGACTAGAGAATGGGAACTGAAAAAAAAATGAATTCCAAGGAAAGTTAGCACATATCTCCATAGGACATGGTAATACAGCAGTGAAGAACTGGATGTCTGAGATGGCTCTGTAAGATAAACTTGCTGGTGAAAAGCAAGGTGTGCACTTTGAAGGTTTTTCCACATTCCTGACATAAGATCTCTCTTCAGTATGAGTTCTTCTATGTAGATTAAGGTGTCTATTCAGGCTGAAGTTTTCCTCCATAACTTACATTCATATGGTTTTTCTCTGGAGTGAATTCTTTGATGAGTAAGAGACTGATGTAAGCTAAAGAATTTGCCACATGCACTGCATCCTTAAGGTTTCTCACTACTGTGACACCCTTGATGCCGAACATAAGATGACCTTGTTCTGAATGCCTTCCCACACTCAACACATGCATAGGGCTTTTGGTCAGTGTGAAGTCTCTGATGCTGAGCACGGGATGAGCCATCTCTAAAAGCCTTTCCACATTCAGTACATTTATAGGGTTTTTCTCCAGTATGAATTCTCTGATGTTGTATAAGGTGGGAAATCTGGCTGAAAGCCTTACCACAATCATTGCACTCATAAGGTCTCTCTCCTGTATGAATTTTCTGATGTTGGGCAAGGTGTGACTTCTGTTTAAAAGCTTTACCACAATCTTTACATTCATAAGGCTTCTCTCCAGTATGAATCCTCTGATGAGTAGCCAGCTGCGAACTGATACTAAAATCTTTTCCACATTCCTTACATTCATAGGGTTTTTCACCAGTATGAGTTCTCAAATGACTAGCAAGGTGTATACTCTGCCTAAATGCTTTTCCACATTGCTTACATTCATAAGGTTTCTCTCCAGAATGTACTCTTTGATGCTGAGTGAGTGATGCATGATGACTAAAAGTTTTCCCACAAATATCACATTCATAAGGCTTCTCTCCTGTGTGAATTCTCTGATGTACAGTAAGGGTTGAGCTCTGGCTAAAAGCTCTTCCACAAACATTGCATTTGTAGGGTTTCTCTCCGGTATGAATTCTCATATGCAGAATAAGTCCCCTGTGAACACTGAAGGCTTTCCCACAATCAATGCACTCATAAGGTTTCTCTCCTGTATGGTAATGCCTCTGGTGTCGAATAAAGGATGTGCTATATCTGAAGGCTTTCCCACACTCAATACATTCATAGGGTCTTTTACCAGTATGACACCTCTGATGTCGAGCAAAAGATGAGCCATCACTAAAGGCTTTGCCACATTCTTTACATTCATAGGGTTTTTCTCCGGTATGAATTCTCTGATGCTGTGCAAGGTGTGCAGGCTGGCTAAAGGCTTTTTTACATTCCTTACATTTATAAGGTTTTTCTCCAGTATGAATTCTTTGATGTTGAATAAGGTGTACATTTTGGCTGAAGGCTTTCCTACATTCTTTACATTTGAAGAGTTTTTCTCCACTGTGTATTGTATAATGTTGAGCGAGGTGTTGACTCTGAGTGAAGGCTTTTCCACATTCTTTACATTCATATGGTTTCTCACCAGTATGAATTCTCTGATGAACAGTAACAGATGAGCTATGGGTGAAGGTTTTTTCACATTCATTACATTTAAAAAGTTTCTTTCCTGCATAGACTCTCTTTTGTTTTATTAGCATGGACTTTTTGGAAAAGCTTTTTTTACCTGACTTCTGATTATAAACATTCTCTTCCAAATTACACAGATTAACAAGTTTCCCAGATTTAGCATACTTGTGGTCTATTTTTTTATGTAGGGTTTCTTTATTAGTGATTGTTTCTTGCCTGCTCAATGTCCCTTGACCTTCCACCTGTTTCTCAAAAAGGTCTTCACACCTCCAGTTTTCTCTAAAAGGTGTACACTCAAGTCCATAGCTTGCAATTTGTTCCATCAACACATCATCATACATGAAGTGCTTCAGAGATAATTCTTGTGCCTCATACACAGATTCCCAATCTAAAAGATATCAAACAAGCAAATGTTTCCTTTATCATCAGGCTACAATAAAAAGTGAAAATTATTCAAAAGAGTTTAATGAGCCCAATAAAAACTATTATGTACAGGCATGACAACTGAAATATACAGGAAATCCCAGAGAACAAGAGCTCATAAAAGTACATAGAAAAGATGACTATGAGGTGTGGCCCTGTAGCACAGTAGTTAAGCTCTGTGCATAGGGAGAAAGAGCCCATATGGTTTCTCTCCTGCTTCAATGGTTTGAAAAACACTACATTTACATGTGCAGGTGTACCAAAAATCCTGACAGGATACAGGAATGGGGGTAAAAGGATTGTAGCATGACGACATTCAATTGGGTGCTTTCTCATTCTCTCATTCTCTGGTGAGTGTACATACCCTCTGGTAATTAGGGATTAAAGAGAAAAAAAAAAAAAGAGGGCCAGCCCTATAGCTTAGTGGTTAAAGGGAGCCAGGTCCCACATGACTGACCACAATTAAAACCCTGGTGCTGGGTAGCTTGAGGTTTTGGGCATGTACATGTGTGTGGCCAAAATCCTGACGGGGTAGAGTGATGGAGGAAAAGGAATGCAGCATGACTAAACCCCCATGGGGTCGCTTTCTTCTGTTCTCTCTCTCTGGCAAAGACATAAACAATTAAACATAAGGAAAGGGGGCTCAGAGGTGGCATGGGGATTAAGGTGCTGGACTCCCACAGAATTGACAGCAGTTCAAGCCCTAGACCTGATGGCTTGAAAATCATGTTGGGCTCATGTGCATGATTTCCCCAAACCCCAAGAGGAGAACTGAGGAGAAGGGATTGTGGTGTGGACATTTCCAGGAGGAGGGGAATTTTGGACTTACCCTCTCTCTTTCTCTGACCAACACACACACCCTATGGCAAAAACCTAAAATAAATAAATAAGGAAAAGGTAATTAAGAAAACGGAATGAGGTAGGATTGACTGATGTGGAGGGTGGCCAGATACCCTGCAGCAGAGGATGCAGCGCCCCCCCCCCAGGTCTGCTGGTACAAGAGCTTCAAAGAATACTTTAGGAAAAACACATTCTATGAAAGTTAAAGTCTCAAAAGCACAAGTCTACTGATGTGTTTGATTTTCCTAATAATCCTGATATCTCAAGCATTGGGCTGGATGAAATGACAAAGATGAAGAACCTTATGAAACCTTTGTTCCTCCTTTATATAGCACTGATATATATACTGATGAAGAATTCTTCAAACACTGTAGATCATCTATCCCTTCAACTCTTCAAGGAAAAAAAGCACAATGAAGTTTGAACACTTCTAGAAAAGAAGCAAGGGAAAAAGAATCTGTAAAACTCAGCACAAAACAAACAAACAAAAATGCCAGGAAGAAAACTAGAGCCCATTATTGATGAATCCAAAAGCATTGAAGAAAATGATATAAGAAGAAAAGTTAAATCAGTGGGAAAAACATTTAAGTATAGAACAACATGAAACTCTTCCAACTACAGGATCTTCAGAACATTCAGAGAAACCAGCTGAATCAGTCACTATGAAAAAGAAAGGAACCTTAGTACCCAGTCCTGTGTTGTCAAAGAGACTATCCCAACAGAAAGGTGACTGAAAATAGAAAAAAGAGAAACTGTCTCATGGCAAAAAGAAGGTATCAAGAAATGAAGCCATAGACTCAGATCTTTCTGACTGCACATTTTGTGTCTAGAAGGAAAGAAAACCAGTGATATAATGAAGTTAGAAATTGTTTTGTCTGCATTTGGGAAAAACTTCCTGGAATATCAACAATCTAGAATCTAAAACTTATAAGGAAGCCTTCAATAAGTTTTATTTTGGGTTGGAAGGAGACCTTCAGCATTGCCTTGACTGAGCCAAGACAGGCCCTCCGGCTGGAGATATGTGTAACACACCATCCTACAGTGACCTCGGAAAAGCCACCAAAGGTGTCTTCAACAAAGGCTATGGGTTTGGCATGGTCAAAATAGATCTGATAACCAAGTCATGTAGTAGAGTGTAATTTTCTCCTAGTCATGCTTATACTGATACAGGGGAAAGCATCAGGCAACCTAGAGACCAAATATAAGGTCTGTAACTATGGACTCACTTTCACCCAAAAATGGAACAGACAATACTCTTGGGACAGAAATCTCTTTGGAGAATAAGTTGGCTGAAGGTTTGAAACTGACTCTTGATGCCATATTTGTACCAAACATAGGAAAGAAAAAAGGAAAATTTAAGGCCTCCTACAAATAGGATTGTTTCAGTCTTGGCAGTAATGTTGATATAGATTTTTCTGGACTAACCATCTGTGGTTGGGCTGTGTTGGCCTTTGAAGGTTGGCTTGCTAGCTATCAGCTGAGTTTTGACACAGCCCAGTCCAAATTGTCACAGAATAATTTCACCCTGGGTTACAAAACTGTAGACTTCCAGCTGCATACTCACATCAATGATGGCACCAAATTTGGAGGTTCTGTCTACCAGAAGGTTAAGGAGAAGACTAAAACATCAATAAACCTTGCTTGTACAGCCAGCAGTAACAACACCCATTTTGGCATTGCTGCTAAATACAAGATATATTGCAGAACTTCTCTGTTGGCTAAAGTAAATAATGCCAGCCTGATTGGACTGGGTTATACTCAGACCCTCCGACCAGGAATCAGATTGACCCTGTCAGCTTTAATCAACAGAGGTGCAGGTGGTCATAAGGTTGGGTTAGGATTTGAACTGGAGGCTTAATGTGGTTTTGAGTAAAGTGTCAAATTTGTCCCTGGAAGTGAAGAGAAATGAACCCACTATGTTTTGGCCTTAAATTTCTTCCATGAAATTTCAAGTGTGAACTTTTGACTCTTTCAAAGAATTGTAATCCTCCCCACACCGACTTCTAGAGATCAGAGTCCATCTAAGGGAGGTGCGTGAAGCCATGCCTGGAAGGTGCTGTGTTTGTGACACATCTCAGTTCAGTTCTGCAGTGTTAATTTCAATGTGTTCCTCAGCGCCAGTGTCATGTTGAAGAAAGTGACCCTGCCCTCCACATCAAGATGTCCTGCATGTCCTATGCCACTTTTCATGACCTTTTAGGATATTGGTCTCTGTGCTGTAGTGGAATCTTTGGTTTTGCATCACAGTAAAATAAAATAAGCCCATCACATTTGGAACATTAAAAAAGAAAGTTTTATTTTTATATTAAAGAATAATCAAAACCCTTAAAGAAGTCCAGATTTTTAAATTCTGAAAAGGAAGAATGTTAAGATGATTTCATATATTGAAAAGAAAAGGCAGCATTTGATTGCAGTCCCTGATGAACTGCTTTGGTTAGAACCACAGGTGAAACAACTGTAAACAAAGTATAATCCACTCAAGGACAGAAAATATTCCCTTAGCAATGTAGCATATTTCATACCTGATTTAAAACAGCTTTATCAAGATTATTCAGATGTTCAAAAGGAAGAAACAAACTTATAAAGGAAATGTATGATTTACCAGACTCCAGTTCTGTTATTTAAAGGAAGAACTCTTTGGGAAACTGAAAACCATCTGTAAAATATCAATCATCATTTAGAGAAGCTTTCTGATATAGAATGACAAAACCAATCTGTTAAAAGATGAGTCTTGGGATCCCGCAGGTGGCATGGTGGTTAAGAGTGCTGGACTCCTACATGGCCTACTGCAGTTCGATTCCTGGAGCTGGTGGCTTGCTTTCTATCTTTCCCTCTCACTCTCGCTCTCTCTCGCTCTAAATAAATAACATTAAATAAAATAATCCTTGAAAAAAAATGAGTCTGGGGGCCAGCAGGTGGCATAGTGGTTAAGGACTCTCACATGGCTGACTATGGTTCAAGTCCCGGACACAGAGACTTGAAACTCATGCTGGGCATGTGTGCATGTTTGCCTAAAATCCCAGGAGGAGAAGGGATTGTCGTATGGCCACCCCCCAGGAGGGACTTCTTACTCTCTCTTCTCTGGTGAGCACACATAGAAAAAAACTCTCTTAAAAAAAAAAGTCTCATGCTACTCAGTTACCTTCTGAAACTGTACTTTTATAAGTAAAAATTCTTTTTTGAAAAGAAAAATATAAAGAACTAAATGTAGGATAATGGGGTGCTAGGGAAATAGTCTACCATAGCAATATTTTATGCCCATATAAATTAAGCTCCCTTCCTCTAATCTTCTCACTTTTAATTGATTTACATATATACCTAGGTTAATTCTGTTTAAATATCATGTCACTACTGATGCTCAAAAATCTCTAGCAATCCCTGACAACCACACATTATACTTGTGACTTCCCTTACGATTTGGTTGAAATTCTAGTTATCTTTTCATAATCAGAAAATGGTGTTCCTATGAACCATCCTGCTTCAGTACAATGAACTCTTATATCACAGATCCCTGAACATAAAGCAACATATTAAGGATTTTCCATTATTTAAGAAAAGTTTATTTCTTTCATGAGTTGAGGAGAAAGAAGTACCTTCAACAGGACCTTCATGCCTGGATCCTAAACACAGCTTCAGTGAGCCAGGATGACAGGTGTGGGAAGACCTCAGGACATTGACCCAGGACCTTTCAATATGGCCTCAACATCATGGAGTGTCGTGTTACTGTTGTGATAATGCACATGGCCTCATTTATTGTACTTTAAACAGCCTAAGAAAAGTGTCACTTTTCAAGTTACTTCTTAGTGTGATTATCCCTTTTCTGAATAAATGTTTAAAGTGACAGGTAGGTAGGTATCAGTATTATGCTTTTATGTATTAGTACATGAGTACCTTTCTTACCACGTGAGCTAGAATATAAGTTTTAGGAAAAAAGTGTGAATGTGCTTTCACACTGCTGCTGTCACCTAATATATGCCATTTAGGGGAAATCTGGGAATATATAAGTTCTCAGTAAAAATATAAAGAAATTGGGTGGGCCTCATAGCATGGCACTTAAGTGCTGTGCATAGGGAACCAGATTCCACCAGGCCATCTACAGTTCAAATCCTGGCCCCAGCAGCTTAA